GGTTAGATGAGATCACCTTTGGAATGTCTAGGGTGGTTCTAGCAAGATAAGCTAGGCATGTATGATTAACTGATTTACAGTTGGCTAACTAAAGGTCACTACAATTGACACAGGCTGACTAACTTGTTTTTCAAGATTCTAATGATTTTCCTTCTTCTGGCTTAGGGGGTGGTATTTAGGCCTTAAGATGGCTGTACTTATGCTAACTTTTGATTCTTCAGATCTTACAGAAGCAGAGAAACAGGCTTTGTTGAATGAACATGGTGCATCTCAGGAGCAGCTAAATAAACTAGGAGATTCATATGCTAAATTATTGGGTCATCAAAATCGAAAGCAAAAAATCAAGCACGTTGTAAAACTGAAAGATGAAAATAGCAAACTCAAGTCGGAGGTGTCAAAACTGCGTTCTCGGGTTGCTAAAAAAAAAGCAAAGTGAGACAAAACTTCAAGAGGAATTGAATAAAGTTCTGGGTATCAAACACTTTGATCCTTCAAAGGCTTTTCTTCATGAAAGTAAAGAAAATTTTACTCTCAAAACCCCACTGAAAGAAGGGAAGACAAACTGCTGTTGAGCTCCTATGGAGTTTCAAGAATCATGCAAGTATACATCTGAAAAAAATGTGCTGAAGATGATTTTATTCTTATTTTTATTGTTTTGCTATCGTTATTATTACTCTGTGTGTAATGAATATTTTTTAATATTGTATTTAATGTTAACTTCTTATCCTTAAATATGTGAAAAGAAATTCAACATTTCTTACTAGTATGTCTATTGAGATTTTATTTCCTACAGTTAGGACCTCCTCCCTGATGCTCACCTTATCACTTCATTCTATACCGTCTAACTGGCTTTCCAACTTTGCAATTCATCCCATCAAATAAACATTCCTTTAAAATTCACTCACATAAATGTCATTCCCCTATTCTGAAACATAGGATGGTTTTAACATTATAATCCTCAAGGTTTTTAGTTTGATAATGGAGGCCTTTTCCAATCTAAACCTTCTAAACTAGGCTAAAACAACGTGGTTTATTTTAAATTTATTTTAAATTCCAGAAGGATTTACCCAATGAGTTTATGGGTAAGGATGTAGTAAAACCTATAGTATCTTCTTGAAGATTGTGTAAAAATTCACTAATATCTAGTTCAGTAGTGCTGTGTGGATGGCAGAGACCCTCACTGTCAATAGCTCCTTAAAAGTCTCCAGGTTTCCCTGCTTCCTAGTTGCCTAGCTCCAAAGTAAATGCTTTACTGCTTCCATCCGGCATTTTAACAAATTCTGCAGTTAATTCTTAGATCTATGCTGAAAAATCTGAGAAACTATGCTCATAACCTCTGTAAAGAATTTGTCTTATAGTGCTTGGCATCTGCCTGACTACTGGTGTTTGGCTAATGTTTGTATAATTCAAAATAAAATCACATTAAGTTATTTACCCAATTATTCAACTTGTATTATATAAAGTTACATTAATGCTTCTTAAAAAAAAAGCCAAGGAACCCAGTGATGAGATTCAGAAAAATGTTGGTGTGTAATTGATATGAATTGTTAGCCAAATTTTATCCAGAGATTTCAATTTTTAGTACTTCTGTTTAATATATCTCCTATAATTATATTGTTTCTTGAAATACCCATCTTACATTTCATTTTAGGACAAAGCTCTCTGGGACCCTAAGGAGGTGTTTAAAAATTCACCTCCTCAGTAAAAACCACTGTGGACCCTTCGCCAGTGTTTAGGTTTCAGAATTCAGTGACAGCTTCCTGTGTGTTTGTCAAACCAGCTTGGGCATTTACCTTGCTTTGCTTTGTATTGTCTCAATGTGCATAATTTTATGCACTATCTAAATTTTACATTATTTGAGGGCAGAAGCAATGTATTTTACATGGTGTGTAATTTTAATAACTTGACAACTAGCGAACAAATAAAATAAAAATTATCTAAATAATTTTTGTGTGAAAGAATGATGTGGCTCTTGCTTAGACAAAGTATTGGTAAGACTAAATATGAAACTGTGCTTACAGCTTCTGAATCATAACGAGTTAAGTGTGAAATTTAAGTTATTTTCCACACTGATTATACTTTTATAAATAAAATGTGTCTATAAAATATAAACAAACCAGAAGAACAAACAAGTAAACCAGAAAAAGACTCAAAAACACACATAACAGATTGCTGGTTACCATGCAGAGTGGGGAGGGCGGGAGAATTAGGTGAAAGGGATAAAGAGACACAAACTACAAACTTCAAATCATACATTGAATTTGTCACAGGTATGACAGTATAGTACAGTGAATATAGCTAATTATATTGTTATATCTTTGGTGACAAACAGTAACTACACTTACAGGGGTGAGTATCACAATACAGTGGTCTAATTATGATGTTGTTCATCTGAGACCAATATAATATTGCACATCAACTGTATTTCAAAAACATATTGAAAAAGAAAGGAAGGACACAACTTGGTTGATAGTGTCTAAATATAAGCCAAAGTAGAGACCAGTATATTCATATTATACTCAATTCACATTCTCCTTAAAACAAATATTTCACCACTTTTATTTCATTTAATGAAAGACAGTTTCTGATGTTATATATGATTGAACTGTTGGCCACACTGACTTTTTAAATTTTGGAATTGCATTTGATGTATTTTAATGGTCCTCATAATCATAATGTTTATGAATATTTCTTAAAAGCACTTCAACTCAAAGCCTAAAAGTCAATACTTTTGTGGATTTACTCTGTCACTTTGAAAACCATACTAATTTTTTTAATATCATATATGTATGATAGAAAACGGATATGTGATAAGAAAATAAAATCTTAAAGTAATTTTCAATGGTTCCCCCATCATATTTATTTTTGTCTACTAGAAATTGCTAATATCTTTCCTCAGATAAAATTAATAGTATGAATAATGGAGTTGTATGTAATGATTTATTTAAACATATGTAATGAAATTATTTTTTACACCTGTTTATCACATAATGAATCTTTATATTTAATTAATTACTGATTGTTTTCATTAAAAACAGCAGAAAGCATTCCAGTGAGCAAACTGTTTTTAAGTTTAGTATTTCATATGTATTTCACTAAACTAATGAGCTCTTGAACGACTTTCTCAGAACTATAGCTCTTACCATTTTGTTAAACTGAAATGTAGTGAGGTACAATATTACATAGGTTTCAGGTGCATGACATTGTGATTCTATGGTTATGTATGTTACTAAATGTCAATAACAGTAACTATAGTAACCACTTGTCACCAAAGTTACTATTATTGACTGTATTCCTTATGGTGTCCTTTCATCCCCATGACTAATTTATTTCATCTTCAGTAATCAGCAGTTCTTTATCTCCTTCTCCCATTTGCCCACACTCACACCTGCCTCTTCCATGCACTACAAAATAGAATCTCTTAGCTCACCTAGGGGATGATTTTATTCATTCTTCAAGCAGGACCAGGTCTGTACTATGCTTGGGAGAAAAATAAAATTTTTTTCATGAAATTTAAGAAAGAAAATCACTATAGTAAACACAAAGTGCTTGGATATCATTATGCAAGCTGGAGTCTAGAGAATGAATTAAAATGATTAAAACAAAAGACATCTACCTATTCAGTTCACAAATTGTGAAATTTTCAGATTTTACAGAGCTGTACAATTTCATTTTTGTACATCTTCATATGTTCATTTTTGAACATTGTAAATTTGTGAAATTTAAAGTTATTTTCGATCACTATAAAATTGATACTTTACAACATTATATATTAAGTTGTATATGAAGTGCTCTTTTTCCTTGAGCCCACTATCCTCACTCTTTTTTAACAAGATTTATGGCAAAAAAGTCAAAACATCCTGTTAAATATATAACCAAGTTCTACATCAGGTTACATAATCAGTATTCATCCTTCAAAACACGATATATTTCCAATAAATGTTTTTCTTTCTTTTTCAAATTTTTAGTCATACTTACGGTCTTGGATTATAATATGCAAAGTTTTTTCATTTGGGAAGAAAAGTTGTATTCATATTAACAATAACTTCCTTTAAAATAAAACAATAAAATCTTAGGAATTTGCATATAATTAGAAAGATAAGAGCGATACTTTTGCTGATAACATATTGAAGAGGGAAAGTTCTATAGCATTTTTTATTAACCCAAGAGACGGATAGCACATATAATAAAGATTCCAAGAAATTCTTACGAAATGCAATAGATCACTTGCTTTGTGAGATTAATTGGTATAAAGTTAAGAATATGAGTATATGAGAAATACAAGCTGAAATCGTTTTTTTTTTTTTTTCTTTTGGACAGAAACAGCCAAACATATAATGAGAATTGGAGGAAGGGATGTAGGGCTAAGATTATCTTCCTCTTGGAAATTATCCAGAAATCAAGCTTTCCTATTATTTATGCAATTTACCCTCTTGCTCTATGGTTAAAATGAAATTAAACCACTTATGAAGCTCTTTGTTCTTTATCAGATAGTTACTTTAAGGATCCACTATGTGGAGAAAAGGAATTCAGTTAAGCAAAAATAATCACTGAGAAATCTCAGGTCTTAATATAATTAAAATGTTATAATTTCTTCAGTGTGTCAATATCAAGGAAAATTACATGTAAAATTTCTTTATCAATAGGAGAATATATCTTATTGAGGCTATATAGATAGGGAAGAAGTAAGTAGCCTTCCTTTTTTAACCAAGTGGATTGACAGCTAAGATTTTAAAGCAATCAAAAATGTCCTTGTACGTCCCTGTCTCTATCTGCTTTGGCACATCCTTATTGCCGATTAGCTGTCATGGATCATTCTTGTAGGGAACATACATTCAGATCATTCAGTCAGAAAAATCCATTTGACACAGCAGAATTCTTCATACAGAGAATCTGGATACACACTTAGAGGAGGATTCAAAATTACTAGCAATGAAATTAAACAATTGAAAGCATTATTTACACATACACTCTATAATATTTGAAATTCCAACCCTTCATCATAGCTGTTTAGCATTCAATTTTAACTAATTTATAAAATGTATAAATCTTTACACCATATTAACATCTTTACAAATATCAAATCATTTTCACTAAGAAGTCCAGAATTCACATTACATTTTCAATACCTTTTCAGTGTGAGAATACTCATTACCATAAAAACTTTAAACAGTGAGAATTCAAAACGATCTTGCCAAAGAAAAGTAAACATCAAAATGAAGAGAAAATTTCTTACTCATATATAGTATGAATATTGTAACATTCTATAGTTGAAATAACGTTCTGTTTCTCTTAGGAAAAATATTATATTAAATACTCTATAGGGAATATTCTTGTCCTCATAAATATAAATTGCTACCAACCTAATAAAGGGCACTTAATAATAAATAACAGGCAGTCACTAATTTTATGTTTACTCAATTTAATATAACCTGATAAAAAGCTAAATTGTAGAAGACTGAAATTTTGTTGTAACAGTTTAGGATAAAAATAAACAAAATGGGTCAATAATTGAATTGCAAGACAAAAGTAAAGAGTAAAATAATATTATGAATATTGTTCTATAATCAGTGAAGTAACTTTCTCAATATA